TTAGGCCAGGAACACACATGCGTAAAATTCGGCGTAAAATCTAGCATAAAACAGAAAACGTAAAAATTTTTCTGAAATTTTGGCTGAAACAAAACTGAAAATAGAGTAGAGCATGTCTCTACTTTTTACGCCGAAAAATTTTTACGCCAAAATTCCTCCAATAAAGAGAAGTCTTTCCTGTGACGTCGAAGTAGACACGTGGTTTTTATTCTAACAATGGCGGCAATGAGGGTTAACCCTACAATTGTGATGGTCTCGAAAAAACGAAAAATAAATGAAATAGAGGAGTTTATTGAATCCGTTCGACCAAATCAGTGTCATGTATAAAGACACTGTATTTAAACAACGTTTATGGATGGCTACAGGTGTTAAATTTCAAATAACAGGTAAGTCTAGTAGAATCGATATATAGGCCTAGTATTTATATCACACGTTCTTTATTTGAATTTGGAATACGAGTCTATTAATTTAAATTTTCTATATTATAGCAGAGGAAGTGTAGAAAAAATGGAAGGTACAAAGGAATAGATAGCCTATATGAGAGGAAAAAATTAATAAAATTAGTACTGTTGGTGGCAGTGGTGTTTTCTATTCGGCCAGAATTTTTACGTATGTGTGTTCTGGCATAAAAGCGTAAAACAGAAACTGAACTGAAAGCTGATTTCTGATTCAGTTTTCTGCCACACAATTTTACGCATGTGTGTTCCTGGCCTTATAGTAGCTTTCTGCAAACATATGCCAATCCCATTCTTTATTAAAAATTAACCTAGGAATCTACAAATTTAGCATTGTAAATTTATTATTATAAACTCTTTCGTGGAAAAATTAATTTAAATTTTAAATTAGAAACATAAATTTTGTACAAAGATGGTCTTAAAAAAAGCTCCGAATCTGCACAGACTACTTAGAAACGATAAAGGGATAATTAAAAAAGAAGACAGGTCGGGTGTATATAAGATCCCATACGAGAATCAGATGTTAAGAATAAATAAAGAATATGTTGGGGTTACTACTAGAAACCTAGGTGTAAGGATAAAAGAGCACAGATATGATATTAGAAAAGGTTCTAATGCCAGAGTATTGTCTCAAATGGCACAAACGGAAGGTTCAATAGTACGATGGAATGAAGCAGATATCCTGAAACAGATTCACTCCCCGACTTTGGCAAGAACAACTGAAAAATTAGAAATTTATAGAAGCAAACTTAAAGGGAATTGCATCAACGCAAGAGATGCTGAGGGACTTCCTTCCGCATGGAAGTATGCAATTAAAAACTTCAAATAAGAGCAGGAACTTTAATAATATAGTAAAAACTCTGTATAGTTTAGTAAGCAATATTAATATTTGGTATTAACAATTTTGTCTATTATGTTAGAAGTGTTAATATTTTGTATACACAATTTGTTTGTTATATTTGACTATTTTATTTTATTTTTAGTATTAGCAGCATTTGTATTAATTTTATTATTTAAAAACGTTATTTTGCTGTTAATAGCATATTGGTTATCGGTTATCAATATTTGTATTTTGAATTTTTTGTTCTATTTTTTTGAAATGTTCTAATTAACCTGACGATGATCCATTGATTGGATTGAAAACGTTTGTTTAAAGAATAAATCTCTCAGCGAGTGATATGGTGTTAATTATTTCATAAATTTTGTATAATTTAAGAACTAGTTTTTCTAAATAAATCGATATTTTCAAAATTATTATTGTNTTTTGAAATGTTCTAATTAACCTGACGATGATCCATTGATTGGATTGAAAACGTTTGTTTAAAGAATAAATCTCTCAGCGAGTGATATGGTGTTAATTATTTCATAAATTTTGTATAATTTAAGAACTAGTTTTTCTAAATAAATCGATATTTTCAAAAATATTATTGTAATGTAATTTACTTTCATCCACTACTCTAGGCAAGATAAACGTTTTAGAAAATTAGTGTTTTTTTCTTAAAATTTATAAAATGACAGAAAAAAACTTCCATTATTTAATTACAGGTATCCTTTGATTAACGTGGTTAATTAATCCCTCGATGCTACCGCGTATATCAAATATCTATATTAAGTAAAGACAGCTGCTAGAGCCGCGTTAATTAAAATTTCTGCCGCGTATGTAAAGGGATTGCCGCAATTAATTTCGCTGTTAATCAAATCCCCGTTAAGCAAGGGATACCTGTATATACTCGTTGACAAAAAGGTTTTGCGCCAAGGAGGAGGCGTTGGAACGATTACCATATCATAGCAAAGGGACAATTTCCTGTGCAGCAACAGTACAATAGTGTATAAAGGATAATTTATCAAATAAATTCACTATTTATCACACCGGAACTACTAAAAAATTTACACACCTGAACCATTTACGGTGTGATCACGCAAAAAATCGGTAAACAAACGTTTTCGAACCCCTTCTGGGTTCTGCTTCAGGTTCCAATCAGTTTCTATAAAGACGTTCGATATCCGTTAGAAGTAGAAATTCGTTCGATCATGTTGTTTAAAGCTTGAATTTGAGCTGTAGGTTCGAATGGATTCACGCAATCCAAGTCAAGTCGCGCATGTGCGACTGGTTCGCCCGTCAGAGTTTGATGGGCGAATTAGAGCGTGTTGTGAATTAACTATTATATAATATTATTGAATAGAAAATTAATATTCTATCAATAGAGAATGCCAGAATAGTCAACATACAGGAGAGGCTATCAACCAATCTAAAGGGGCATTACCAGAAAAAATTCCAGTGGATTCTACGATTCCAGGTCCCCAAGACTCGTAAACATCTGTCCTTCTCATTTATTGTATGGGACAACTTGAACCTACCGAGCTTTGTAGTGGAGGTCCTCAAATTTGGTCCGGCGTTCGCACTACCCCCTCGAAAGTCTGACGCAAAGAGCCTCATCCCTGATCTGGAAATCCTCTTACGGGTCTAACGGATAGACAAAAGGAGTACTATTGCTGGATGGCCACTCTGAAGATCAGGAATTCTAAGGAGTCTTTGGAGCTGGTAGATCTGAGAGACAAACTTCGACATACGGTCAGATGGATGAAACTAAATAACATCACTCTTGTCAGGGCGGATAAAACCAATACCATGGTTCTCATGAAACGCGACACCTATGAAAAAGGCCTACAGGAATACGTTTCACTTGCCCAATGCGAGAGAGTGGAGGAAAGTTTTATCAACAAGCTTCATTCCAGAGTCAAGCGTTTCACTCACACCAATCTAGCTAAACGCTTAGAGCTTGAATAGTGTGGCAAAAACTGAAAGTATAAAAAAGGGAAAGTATCCTGTCGTGGAAAAATTACGTCATGAAGTCAAAGATCCAGTAAAATGCCTCAAAATTGTTTACATGACAGTAGATTCCAATAGAAACCAAGTCGTAACTAGAGAAGAATTGAAAAAGGCAATTCGTTATGGATTAAATTTTCCAAATGTTATTAAAGATAAAGACTTTGAGGATTTGTTTCTTCTTTTGGATCCATGTCATACTAATTGGATCAAATGTGAAAAATTTTTAGATTTATTCAGAATCGATCCTCACGAAACATTTAATGATGATAAAAATAAAAATGGTTCTTGCTATGTATCGCAGCGCCATCTATGGCAATTCTAAATGTATATAGTTCATAGTGCGCCTGCGCACCGCAGTCAGTTCTGTACCGCTCCGTATTCAATAAAGGCGTGCTTGTTATACTTGTTCATAAGAATCCGTTTCCATCCTTCTTAATCTAATTCCGACGACAATACACACCAATTCTGGCGACGAGGATGGGATGTCATTAAATCCTTTTCACGACTTAATTTTTGTAAGGACGACTTAATGTTTTGATAAATCCTTCAACTGCTCCATTAGTTGCAGGATGATATGGCGAAGAGAATGTCTGACGAATTCCGTTTTGTGCTAAAAACATTCTGAATTCACGAGATGTGAATTGAGGGCCATTATCAGAATGAACATGTAATGGAAGGCCATGACGACTAAACCAAGATCTAAGTGCCAGAATAGTAGCGGAAGAATCTGTGGATTGCATTATTTGAATTTCAGGATATTTAGTTTTTGCATCAATACCTATTAGAAACATTTTTCCAAGGAAAGGTCCAGCGAAGTCGATATGCACTCTACTCCAAGGTTCTTCAGGAATTGGCCATCTTAAAGTATTGGTAGAGGGAGGATTTCGATGGTATGACTGACATAAAATACATTCTTTCACTGTTCGTTCTAGATCACTATCAATGCCTGGCCACCAAACAATTGATCTTGCTAACATTTTCGATTTAACGATACCTTGATGTCCCGAATGTAATTCAATAAGAACATTTCTGCGAAATTTCTCANTCATTGACAAAAAGGTTTTGCGCCAAGGAGGAGGCGTTGGAACGATTACCATATCATAGCAAAGGGACAATTTCCTGTGCAGCAACAGTACAATAGTGTATAAAGGATAATTTATCAAATAAATTCACTATTTATCACACCGGAACTACTAAAAAATTTACACACCTGAACCATTTACGGTGTGATCACGCAAAAAATCGTAAACAAATGTTTTCGAACCCCTTCTGGGTTCTGCTTCAGGTTCCAATCAGTTTCTATAAAGACGTTCGATATCCGTTAGAAGTAGAAATTCGTTCGATCATGTCGTTTAAAGCTTGAATTTGAGCTGTAGGTTCGAATGGATCCACGCAATCCAGACTGGCCCGTCAGAGTTTGATGGACGAATTAGAGCGTGTTGTGAATTAACTATTATATAATATTATTGATAGAATATTAATTAATATTCTATCTTAAAATCAGACGTCAAAATAATAAAAATGAATAACTACAATAATGAAAATTTCATATAAACTACCAATCCACAAAACAAAGAACATGACCCAATATATGATTATACTCTTATAAATATTGTTATGAAATTTATTTTCTATTGCTTATTGACTTTTTGACAAACCATCTAAGAATGACACAGTATGAAGCATGACTTTGGATGAACAGGTGAAAACATTGGCTGTATTTTCACTAGACAAAATGGTTTATCAAATGCTATGTGAAATGGTGTCAGTATATGGTACAAAACCATGTCAAGATGATCATGTCTGTTTGCAAAAATGATACAGGCTGTGGTTTATATTGATATAACAAAATGCCATCCACAATGTTGTTACTTAAATGTGGACATAGCTTTAGATACAGTACTTTCTATCTATATTATTATGACTTATTTCAATATCAGTGGGATACCACTGATATTGGAATAATAATGTCAGTCATAATAAGAGAATCTATGGCATAGATAGTATTTCTAAAGTTAATGGTTATGCACTTTGGAACTATATGATACACTCTACACTTGAGCAGAAAGACTAGTTGGGCATTTCGAAGAGGGCTTTACAGCACAGCAAGTTTTAGAAGTTTGTAAAGTTAGTATTTATCTAAATTCTAGATGAGAAAAATAAAACAAAATTGTTTTTAAATTTTATAATGAGAATGATATTAAAATTATGAGATTTTTTCTAAACTCTTTCTGCTCTGTGTACATTAAGAGTGCCTTTTTAATCATAACCATTATGAGTTTAACCAGGCCCACAATGGGACAGCCAGATGGTGAAGGATGAAACCCAACATAAACAAGACAACCCTGAAAACTTCTGGATTCTCAGGGATCAAATCTGGACAGATAAAAAATCCTGTCCAGATTCTATTCCAGGTTCTCCAGAGCAATAGTCTACCATCTTAACTGCTTAGTATTCTGCCATCAAGAGATTACAAAGTATATGTTGCTGTAATATAGACACACGAAATTTCATCAAAATTAAACCTTCAAACTTTTAATAATGATATTTTATTTTTCTAATTATTGAAATCATTACAATAACAGAATTATAACTCTTTTAACTAAATAAATAACTTATCACATCATACAGTAGATTAATTTTCTAAATGGTAATTACACTGATCATGAAATTAGGATGATTATTTTAAAACAACATATGAGCAAGTTTTAGAGTCTATGTTACAACTCTTAAGTTCATAAGAATCATATAAAAGATCATGTCTGACAAAGAATTACATAAGCAAATATTATTATACTTGAAGGCACATTATTTTCAAACAAAAATAAATAGAATCGTGTAATTATTTTCGGTGACTAGCATTACTGGCAATAGCAGAGTTTATCAATTTAAATTTTGTTCATTTACATATTTAGCTGAAAATTAATATCTTTATACAAGTTTCTTTGCTTCAAAGAAACTTTTCAAATGCCTCATCTGCCACAATCCCATCAAAATAAGAATTATTGTTTGGAAGATTGACCACCACAGAACTCTTTGGCTGGTACTTTCACTTGTTGTACGAAATCGTTCTTCTCGATACTGCAAATTATTATAAAACATAAATTAAGTTATTTTGAAATTTATAAAGTATAATAATAAACCTATCTTAGTACTCTAAAATAACTTTTTTTTCTACTGCATTAAAGTTTGCATTTAATGTAAAAAACCAAAAGTTAATATGCCTTCTTAATTGCAACAAAAGCAAATCCACTTCCACTCTCTTTTTTTTTTCCTTAAAAAGAAATAAGACTTATTTCTAAAAAATTTAAAATATTCTTAACAAATGTATAAAAAACATTACCAAAATACATAAATAAGTTTCATATAAATAATACTTAAGAATTTTATCATATACAGTAGAACCTCGATTATCCGGACTAATTGGGGATGAAAGTAGTCTGGATAAGGAAAATTTCAGATAATTGAAACAAATACTTTAATTTGTCTTTTAATGATAATATAACACACATTCTTTTTGATGACATATCGGTAATATTAAAAATAAATACTGTATTTAAATCGTGATCAAATTTTCAAGAAACAAATGTTTGTATTGAATTTGGACTACTACTGACCAGCGCTAACAGACTACCTATTGTTTAAAAGGCCCTCTGGTGGCACAAAAAGACGGATTTTATAAAGTAAAAAGCAGTTGAAACTGCATTTTTATGAATAAAAATTTGACAAACTATTTATCATTTTATGATGAGTAAAATTTTTTCGTTACATTCGCAACTTTTAAGTAATGCATAAACCTTCAAGGCGCAAGGCGTAGGTGGTGGCCCACGTTGCTCATGCCTTATGCTGCCCTTGGTCATAGAAATGATGTAATTTGAATATGAATTATATATAAATATATATGTCAAGTTATATTTTTATTATGACGCAAGATATATTTTAGAGTTTACGACCAATGTGCCGGGTGAGACGTTGTTGAAACAGAAAAAGTTATGCATTCCATCACGTGCATAAACAGTGTTGTAATTTGCCAAGTGCAAATCAGCAAATCTGTAAAATTTTTATTTATTTTAAACAATCCGGATGATCGAAAATCCGGATAATCGAGGTTCTACTGTATTTGAATAGAATTGGAAAGATAGAGTGATTCACTTTATCAGTGCAAGATATCCTCATATTAAGAATGTGTGGAAAGCCAGAATTTTTTCACATTACAGACAGGCTTGACCTACAAGATAATTGGCCAATAAGACAAGAAATAAGAATGATACCCCAATCTACAGTATTCATTTATAGAAATAAGTCTAATAATCATCTTTAATCATTACAAAAAATAATATAATATGTTAATTTTTAAAAATATTTATAGTGTATATAAAACATAATTTATTAATAAGTTAAATTATAATAAATATAAATCTGTTTCTATGATTGAATCTAATAAACTGTAGATCTTATGATGATAGAAATGTTTTAAAGCAATGCTTTTTATTCAGAGAAATGCACTAAAAAGTAAAAAACAAAATTTTCTTCAGCTTTACAGTATTCTTGGTATTATGTGACCAAAAATAAAATCTTGGTGCATTCACTCACAAGAAGCTCATAAAAATTGATAGAAAATTAACAGTATTTAACTAAGAATATTTCTAAACATGAACGTGTGACACTTGGCTATTTCAAAATTTGAAGTGAAAATTCTGTCTGAACTGTGTTATGTGCATGTTAACTTGTTCATTTAGATCAAAGCGCCTGCATACTGTAAGAGAACAATAGACAGATAACAACTCTAATCTGGTCAATATGTATTTATATTATTTTTGTATTGCTTATATCATTCCAGCGCCATGGTAACGCACATGCACATATTTGTATACATACACATAGTGTGTTCCATTAGTTTAAATTCTGTTTGTGCTGTTCCATCTTTTTGAAAATAATTTCGTAATTTTGTTCTACACATTCACGTGTTCAAATCCCACTGGTTTTTTAAACCTGAAGAAGACCGAAAGTACAGTCAAATGTGTTTGTTTTCTATTAAATATTTACTATTGGACTTTTAAGGTTTATGAATGTTAATTTATATATGTTCCAGTATACATGTAAGAAGGTTGTTTTTTACTTAAATTACTTTAATATTTTAAAATCATTTCCAAACATTTGCTTTAATCTCAACAAAAAATTTTTTGGTATGTTTTATAGAAAATTTTGTGAATGTGTTTTTAATCAAAACTGAAAGAAATCATATGAATTGATAATATGGACCAGTGGTTCCCAATTAGTGGTACGCGTACCCCTGGGGGTACGCGAAATTGCGCGAAGGGGTACGTGCGGCAATCTAAAATCGGTCGATTTAAAATTTAAATGCATGAGATGAAGCAATCAAAAAAATAATGGATGGATCATCAAAAATTCGGCAATTTACAAAATGATGTCGAATGCACAAATTTGTTTATTTATAACTAAAAATAATCTCGAAATTTCATTAAAAAAAATGCATTTGAGACAATACCTAAATGAAATTCTTACACAAGAAACAAAAATTGTTAATGTTAAAAATAATGTTAATTGTACAATTATCATTATTATCATGCCTGCGAAGCGGCAATAAAATATTTACCGCCATTTTACGCAACGTAACTCTGCGAGAGCGGATTTTCAGTCATGACAAACATGAAAACTAAACATTGTAACCGACTTCGACTTGAAGATGACTCGAGACTAAAGCTGATCAAAAAGCAACCAGATTTTGCAAAGTTGTGCAAAGAAAATCGTGCACATTTGTAACATTAAAATTAAATAACCTTATGTTATTTTCATTATTATTAGAATTGTATTTTAAAGGTAATAAATGTAAAAAAAAAAACTCATTCTATTTATCACTAGCTGTCTACCCACAGCTTCACCCACATTATATAGAATTTTCTCGTGGGAGTAAGATATTTTCTCGCAGTAAAATGTAGCCCATGTTCATCTCCAACATGTAAGCTATCTCTGTGCCAAATTTTATTAAAACCTGTTCAGTGGTTTGACGTGAAAAGGTAACAGACAGACATAATTACCTTCGAATTTATATTAGTATGGATTAATATGAATTTCTGCTATAAGGGGTATGCGAGTTTGAGCTCTTTCTTAAAGTGGTAGGAGGAAAAACTAATTGGGAACTACTGATATAGACTAAAAAATATTTTCATTTGTAATTCCTATCATGTATGTATACTGGAAGACAGATTTCTGGTAAAATTTAAGTTTTTAAATAACTAAATATTTTACACAAACTTATTTAAATCAAATCAAATATTGTATATTTTCATATAATAAAAATTTTTTGTTTTCATCTTTCTGACTGACATATTGGATTTGAGACAGGAAAGAGTTAATCATGCTCTACGTTCTTTAATTGTTTTCAAGAACTAATAGTTAAAAAGTTAAAGAAATATGGAGCTTGAATTTCATACAATCATATAGGACTGATCTCTTCAACATATGAAAATAATTTATATCATTTAACAACAAATCTTACCCTTTGATAATTCTGTTCTTTAGTAATCTGTTCCACTTGATCCAATAACTGGCGAACTCTTAATTGAAGTTCTGTTAATTTTTCTTTTTGAGCCACATTACCATAATCAATAGCATGTTCTCCAACTTGTAAATCTAAATGGACTCTCTGAAATAAACAAAAAATAAATATGAGATCTGTTCAAAATAAAACTGGACTTCTGTCATAGCTCACAAACTATTGCACCAATCAAATTCCAGCAAGTGGTGTCAAATAGCCAGAAACTTCAGTAACACAACACCATTTGGTTCGTTGTAGTACTCTGATCAGTTGGTGATCTAGAGCTGTTGAAGTGAACACATGCAGTCACTGCTCTGTGAAGTGAAATTGAAAGACTTTAAAGAGTAACATATTTGGGTGAAATTTTGCTTTAAGGCTGGCAAAACTTTTACTGAAATATGGACTTTGCTTCAGCAGGCTTATGAGGATGACTATATGAGCCATTCACAGTATCATGAGTGGTTTAAGCATTTTAAATCAGGTAAAACATCTACTGAGAAAGATTCAAAATCAGAATGACTGATTTTGATTTTTTTTATCATTGAGGCATAATCCATAATAAATTCATGCTATAAAGTCAGACTGTTAACAAGGAGTTCTACATAGAAGTTTTAAGGTGTTTGAGGGACGATGTGTGCTGGAAGAGGCCAGAGCTGTGAGAAAACAAGAGCTGGGTGCTGCATCATGACAATGCATCATGTCACATATCTGCTTATCAGCCAATTTTTGGCCATTAACAATATGGCTGTCCTTCCCCTCTCCAGTACGTTCTAGACTTGGTCCACGTAGACTTTTTCCTGTTTCAGCTACAGTTTAAAAAAGACATTATTTTAAAACTTTAGTTGAGATTCAACTAAATTTGCAGTGATAGCTATATGCCATCTCACAAAATGTGTTCCAGGGATCATTCCAACAGTGACAAAAACAATGGAAATGGTGCATTGCAAGCAGAGAGGAGTACTTTGAAGGGAACAAACATGTATAATATTGTAATCACGGTAATAAAGTTTGTATGACAGAAGTCCAGTCTTTTTTGAACAGACCTCATACTTCTAATTACAATTAATTAAAACAAAAAGTAAAATATTCATAAAAAATTTTATTGTTCTTAAAAAGATATTTAGTAATTATTTCTTCTAATTTAATGATAAATATACTGTAAATTGAGTTACTTACCAACTGGCTTCCACTAAACCATTTGGTTGTATTTGAATATAAACAAATGACATGCTCTCCAGGATCATTGGATGTGAAACTAAAACGACCTTCAGAACTGTAAACTTTTGACATGATAACTTTATCATCTGGATCTTTTACTTCCACATGCATTCCTATACCTGGACTAGATGGCATATAACCACCAGTTTTAGGATCATAAAGTTGGCATTTATAATTACCTAAAAATTTTGTTTAAAAATTTCAATGAGTAAAATTCGACAACATATACAAACAACCTAATAATATATACAATATATACAAACATGACAATATATACAAACAACCTAATAATTAAATTTAATTAAACAGCCATATTATTATTGAACTACATAAGACTAATTAATTAATTAATCAGGCATTAAGGGCTAAAGAATCAAGTAATTTGGTTAGAGCAGTGATTTTCAACCAGTGTGCTACAAAAATTTTTGAAGGTTATTAAATAAATTATTTTCAAAAGAAACCAAAAGAACAATAAGTGAAAACATCAAAATTAAATTAAAACCTCTTTAAATTGATTATATNTTGTTTTGTTCCTTTAAAAAAAAATCATGTTATTTCAGCTTGTTTGATTATAGTATCTGAAGATGATGGAGTTCCTAGAAAATAAAAAATTACTGAAAACAGTTTAACTTTTCAATGATTAAAGTGATATTAAGATAATCTTAACATATTTCTAATAGTCTTTCTATTTTTCCTTGTAAAAATCTAAGGAATACTGTTACCAATCATATAATGAGATGAGATTACAAGCAATTTTTACATTGTAATTCAATTTCCTTAATATTGCCTGTCTTTAATGCCAAATTATTAAATAAGTGAATTAAATTAATGTAAAAATAGTCTTTAATTTTGACTTCTTATTGTAAGAAAGGCAATTTTACAGTTTGACTTTGGATGCTGTTAAATAAGTTGTTATAAAAGAGGAGGAATAACTTCATAGAATATGCAAGATTAAAATACTCAGTTAATCAAATGATGATGAATTTATTGGGCCATAACTTGGCTAATTAACTATATAAAGTAATTTGGGCTAAAGGTGATTAAGTTGTCATCTTGTGTTAAATTTAATTAATTTAGAACATTCTGAAAGAAAAGATTAGCCAAAAGTGAGACTCAATCTAACAATTTCTTACTATATAGATGCATTGAAATTTATGTTACCTAAAATCTAAGGAGTTGCAGGTACAAGTCTTGCTACAGGCCAATCTTTTCTTCCAGAATATTATAAATTAAATTATTTCTAATTATTAAATGTAACAAAAGATGACAGCTTAACTGCTCACTTCTAGCCAGATTACTCATTCCTTAATAATTAATTAGCCTTAATGTAGATAAGAATCTGGCTCATTTAAAAATTAAATGATTCAATATCAATATTAAAAAATACAGATATCAGATACAGTTCTAAATGTATCATTGAAAAAAGTAAATATTAAGGTCTACAAAAATATTCTCTTAGTAATATGTGGTTGGCCATTTAATATTAATATTTGAAAATAAATATAATTTTATAATATATATAATTATTTGAAACTGATACAGAGAAGTAAAAATATGTCTGTCTGCAAAAAGTACTTCTCTTAGTAACCATCCATACAACATAGTTACAACAAAAGTATGGTTTGTCCTATAACTAATTTGCATTCAAAAAAGCAAATAGTAAGAGATGTTTCTTGTATTAACATTCATATGCATTAAAGAATATTTATTGTTTTTATTATAATAAAGTTGCTACTCTAATACACAGTAAACTCCGATTATCCAGACAGAATTATCTGAATTTGTCTCCAACTTTGTTAAAACTAAATAAGCATGTATGTATATATACTGTACGTGTTAAAAAGAAATTTTTTTCTAAATGTAGAAAATAAACTATATTCATTGTAGGTACGGTACATTTCCACATTTGTTATACGCACTTAATTACGTAAACACAAATGTAACAGAATGTTTGGATAGAGAAAAAAATGTCTATTTTAAGCAAAAATCCAATTATCCAGGTGATCCGATATCCCAATTCATTTGGAAAATTAAAGTCCTACCGTATAAAACAATAAGTTGATATCACTATATTTCCTCTATTCTAGGACACACCTTTTTACCCATTTTTACTTCAATGGATACAGTCTACAGCTCTGATGAAGTCTCATTCAGAGTTGTATTTGTACCAAATTAAATCATCTTTTTAAGATACTTTAAAGAAATTTGACAAAATATATCCTGGAATATTATATTATACAGCAACACATCATCAAATTTATTTTGCATCACGTATAATTGCCGTTACTTTAATATTTGTAGTCGTACAATGATTTTTCAATACGTTTTAGGCTTAATAAAAAAAAATTACCAACAACTAATGTCTCATCCGGAATTTCTTCAATAAAACATTTCCTTTCAACTTCCGTTATATGAAAATAAAGTCCGTGTATACTTAAAGGAAGGAACGTTGCATACAAAAGCAATAAAATTTGCCTCGATTCGCACATTTTTTTTTTTTTTTACAAATTTGATCAAATCAAAATAAATTTTCCAATTACGTTTACGCCCGATGCGCCGCCATTATATATATACATATTGATTTATTATATAAATTCAATTAAATTTAATAAAATAAATTAATGTCGAGATTAAAATTTAATAGCAATTAAATACATTTTAATTAATTTGTAATTTATTTTATTTATAAACGTTATTTTATTATTTTTTTTTAATTGATATTTATATTTTAAAATTATCGTTTTATGTCACCAGAGGGGGTTTACTGTCATTAAATGGCAGGACTTTAAACGTGTTATCAATTTATTTTTAAAATTCTGAAAATATTCGAGATTTATTATTTGTTTTTAAAATGGAGGCTGCCTTAATATTATCTGCTTGTATTTCGGCTGTGATTATTGTATTGATTATAGCGTTATTAATGAGAAATTTACAAAAATCTTCGTCAACATATGTTCCAGGTTGGTTAATATAGAAATTTACAGTAGAAGTTACTTTTAGATCATTTACTCATAATGTATACATGCACAAAGTACCTAAAGGTAACTTTTACTAAAATTAATTACAGTATTGTATTCATTTGATTCACAGTATCAAATTATATGTAATGATGGTCTTATTTCATAAAAGTAGTCAAAATTACTATCTCCAAGTATTGTTTAGAAATAAATTATAAGCGTGAAGTAGCGTAGCGGTTTTTATCTTCTCAACATAATAATGTTAAACTTAATATATAAATTTATAATACATCTGCAGATGACAATTAATTGATGTAACCTAATGCCAAACAGAAACTTTTTAGAAACTTAAAAGGTGCCAAATTAATGCTCTTTGTTACTCATATTTTACTTTCCAAGACTATTGATACTTTCCAATGTTATTGTTTATCTGATTTGATTGTTTTGACTCTATAGAAGTCTACATTCTGAAGAAATTTTGGCATACTCATTCCTGTACAACCTTTTCATACAATGTTAATAAATTGTAAATATTATATGTTTATTTAATACAGTAATACAACAAAATAAACATGATACAATATATGATTCTCTTTCATTTATCTATGTAACACTTCTTTTGTCTTTTTGTTTTGTTTACCTGGAACTTTGTTTCGTAACAGTTCATTTGCAGGTTTTTCCTTGCCATTAATAAGTGCACATATATTCTGTTGCAAACGCGATTACACATTATTCGCAAACTTCTACATGCTTCAGAACACATACATATAGTAGTAAACATGTCCTAACATTTTGTTTACTCTGTTTAATAATAATATTAAATTTTGATGTGAAAGCATCTCACTGGTAGTACCTAAAATTTCCTGCCAACCCAGAGGGGCCTAACATTATGGTATTTTAATAGCGCTTCATTTCCAGGAGAATATCTCGAGAATCACCCAAAGGTTCTTAGTACTGTACTCCAAATGCTCTTTGCATCGTGCATGAGGTATTCTGATAGCTGCCCAACCAGCAATACAGCTCTTTGTATTTTGGCCATCCAAGGATTAATCCTTAAACATTTCCATAGATACCTGTTTTCTTGTTNATACATTCTAAAAATACTAATATATCCTAAAAATAGCAGATTGTCATTGGCAACGGCAAAAGAGTGGAAACATCATTCGCACTTGTTCGAAGAAAGTCCATTGTTCGTCTCACGTAACTGCCTAACGGAAAGTCCGTTATTCGCAGCAAGTCCGTTGCTCGAGTCACGTAACGGTCAAACAGAAAGTTCGTTATTCGAAGCGTCCGTTATTCGAGGCGTACGTTATACGAGGCACCACTGTATATATATATATATATATTAATAGCCTGCCTTAAAGGAAAATATCTTGGGAGAGGAACAATTTTCTATGTTAAATTTAACTATAAGACAGAAACCTGTCTATTGTGGAAGCAGAAGAGGTTTTTGGGTAGCATCATTGCAGAGCATGACATACTGTATTCCAAGAATGATTTTCAACTTTATTGGAGAAATGAAAGTCACATGATGAGGGATGTACAGAGAGAAAATCTTTATTGGAATTAATTAGGTATATTACTCGATACTGTTAAGAACTGAGAAGTTTAAAGAATCAAATGAATTTCTGAGAGTCAAGCTCTTGAAAACAAGCACTGTATATAATTTGTGAAAACAGTGAAAATAAGGTAATGCAGTACTGCCAATTTTCCTTGTGTGGAATGGTTAGTAACTATCTAGTATTGAGTATTCGAAAAGGAGTTGATTACCATTTTCATAATTATAGAGATTGAAGTAAGCAATTAATTAGAGTATTAAAATTCCATGCAAAGTCAAATCACAGAATAATTTGGTTTCTGTATTACTGTAATGCAATTAGAATTTCCAATGCCAGAGTGAGACTCTAGTTCTTGATACTCAAATTGTCTTGTTCACTGTTGTATAAGCTCATAAAACTGAGAACTTTTTGAATATCTAGTACAAATTCTTGGAAACAATGAGAACTTTTTTAATCAAATAATTCTCAATTCTTGCATTCAAATACTCCAATCTTTAGTCGGAATCACTTCAAATTAAAGCTTGTAAAAATTTTTTTAATAGTGATTTTATTATGAAAAATGAATTTAACTGTGTGACATTTATCTGATATAGTTTAAACATAAAAAAAACTAAAACTTGTTCAAAATGGAAAAAATAATTCAATTTCCAGTTTACACAAATTTTACTGTGTTATAATTATACAGGACTTCTCTGATGATGTATTAAATAAAGTTAATGAGTGATTTAATCTTAATTTCAGATAAAACTTACACTAATAGGAATACATAAAAGCATTTTCTGTTGATTTTTAAGAGAACTGTTATAAGACTGTTTTCTAATTGATAATGGTACAACTGTTGGATAGAAGTTACTTTTGATCAGATAAATATTTTTACAAATATCTGCGTAATTATAATGCATCAAATGATCAGTAATAGATAAAAATTGCCTTGTCTATTAAAATGCATAATCTGAATGCTTGCAAAAAACAAACTCTGCTAATTAAATTTCTGACTTACCGAATGATATCTTTCATTCCTCAGTCAGCACCTATTTTTTTAGCTTTTTCAAATTCTGATGTTTATTTCCATTAATTTCTCTTACAGCTGTATCATATCACACTTGTGTCTTCTCAATATGATGCATATTCATTCCCAGTCAAAACAAAAATGTACATACATTAAAGCATTTGATGGTTTTCAAACATTATTTTGCAGTCTACAAAGACCTCTTAGATTGTGGATAAAGTGTAGACACAAGAAATTATGGTTGATGTCAGCATTTGAAAAAATTAAATAATGCAAAACATAGGAGTTGACTGGGGAATTAAATGTCATAATTGATATATTAGGAATTGTTTAATTAGCTTGCAGAGTTTGAAATAAAAAAAAAAGGATTTCTTGTGAGCCTCTAGATTACATTGCTTCATTTTAATTAGCTTCACCAAATAGATTAGTTTAACACTGTATTTTGTTAGTTAGAAGGTAAGTAGCTAGTTGTCATCACATACAATATTTCACATTAGGAAAACATGTATTTGTTAAAAATATATTTTTAGCAATTTTTTTATTTAGTTTTTATAATCAATTTATTTATATTATATTATACATTATTAGCATCATTTGATGCATTATAAATTACATGACATTTGCAAGAATATTGATTTAACCAAAAGTGCAATGAGTTTATTTCTGTTGTAGCAATTTTCTGTGGGAGTATGTGCCATGTGGATTAAATGCTGCTGCTGTTTATCTGTGTAAAATTACAATAATTAACATTTTGTAGTATAAATGGAGAATTTATTAAAATTAAGTGATCATTAATAGAAAATGACGAACAGAGGCTTCGAGCTGTACCAATTAATCGTGAAGATGGAGGAGGACAAAGGCGGGCTGGTAGAAATGTTAGAGCAAGAATGAGAGCAGCTGCCGCAAGACAACTAGAAGAAGAAGAAGGTCTATATATATTTTTTTAAATATAAATGTTAAATATATTATTCTTAAATAGTTTTTATAAAATTTTAATATTTCAGATGAAGAAAATGATCCACTTGCAGAAGAAATAGCATTACCTGATGGTAAAATTGGTGCTAAAAAAAGAAAAAAGTTAGAAATGAAAGCTGAAAAAAGAGCACAAAGAGAGGTAGATATTTGAAAGAATTTTTTAAAAGTATGATTATATTTATTATTAGTATGAAAAGTATACAACAAAGAAATTAAATTTCCAAATTAAAATAAGTATATAAATGATTTGAATACAATTTAATTACACAACAAAATTTTTATATACAGATTTATAAAAAAAGTGGAAATTTATAAATCAACATTACAAGGATGATTGTATAATGAAACATGATTTATATTTTTGATAAATATATCTTCTGTTACTCAGAAATATCTTAAAATCTTATGTGAAAAATTTCTCATAGTTGTAAATAGTCATATTTGATGTAAATTATTTAAATATGTTGAAAATTTTTTATGCTTAATGTTATTTTCTGTTTTCAATTTCACAATTTAGTACATAGGAAAAATATTTATTTAAAAATAAATAAAATAATGCGAAAAGTACATGCAAGACTATTTAACTGAGTTTTATTTTTACAAAATTGGAAATTTCTTACACAATATTTTCTTTTAGTGTCAAAGTTCATTTATTTATTTTTGTATTTTTTAAAATAAAGTTCAATTGATAATTTCATCAATATGATTTTATCACTGTATGTTAATAATTATGAAAATAATAGTAAATTTTTAGACAATGGATAATTATAGGATGATCTTAGAAGCTTCTCATAAATGTTGTGACAGCATAGTGTAAATATTGTTAAGTTTGGATATTTGTATTTCAAAAAATCACATGATTTGAATTGTAACTTCAATTACATACTATTTGTTTTTAAATAGTAAAATTTTAAAAATGCACTTTATATCTAATTATTAATTTCAAAATTAATGTATATATTTTTATGTAAATACTACAATGATTCTTGAATTGAGATTGAAGTCATAGCCAGTATGTCCACACCAATCTCATGGCAAAGAATGTGAAATCTCTTCTGTGAATGAGCATGAGCCCTGATTGTCCATGCATTAATTCACAATTTGAGTGACTCTTTTGTCTTTAACCTTTTTGACCTGGGACTAAACAGATGGTTAACTTAACTCTGTTCTATATATATAGAATATATGTAAATTATACACACATATATATGATAATCTAAAAATTATATATTATATTAAATTAAATGAAAAAAAATAATAATAATAATACTTAACAAATTTTCAACATTGTTAAAAATTAAAACATTTAAATCTTTATCATCTTTTAGAGAGATTTAGAAGAACGTGAAGAAAGAAAACGTAGACAAGCTTTATTAGATGAACAAAGAAGAGTAGAAGATGAGAAAAGAAAAGAAGAAGAAGCAAGACAGGTAAAATAAATTGTTTTTTAAATAAATTTTTTGAAAAAATAATGATCTAAGTCAGGGCTTCTTAAACTATGGGTCGGGACCCCATTTGGGGTCACTTAGCGAAATCTTGGGGTCGCGAGATTTTAATGCAAAATATTGAAAATAATTTGTGAGAGTTTGAAAATGGCACTCATTGTGTCACTTCTGGTGCAGCAAGACAACGATTCTGCAACACTGATTGTAGTGTGAACTAGTGTACTGTTGTCGCTTTTCAGTGTATTCAGTTGTCTCTGTTCCATTGTAACACAAGAGTGAACTGTGGTAGTACACCATTATTGTTTTTGCAAATTTGTATAAATCTTTATTTTATACTTTTTGGGGTCGTGAAAAAAATCACAATCATAAATGGGGTCGTGAATAAAAAAAGTTTAAGAAGCCCTGCTCTACTGTATTACCACAGTTTTCCTTTGGACACAGGAAAATTTTAGTTTAAGAACATATTATTAGATATTTTAACATATTGACGAGCTTATTCCAAAATATATTATAGAAAAATTTGACCACAAAAGGATAGTACCCATAGCTTCTATAATTTATAATGTTTTGCATATTTAAAGCATTTTAATATATTAGANTAAATATTTTATTATATGAATTATTGACTAAAGTTTAAACCAAAAAAATTATATTAAATTCAATACGTTTGTTAAATAATATTGTTTGCATATGATTTAATATAAAATTACTGATGATATTTAAAATTATTAAAGGAAGAAGAAGAAAAAAGACTTAAAAAAGAAAAAGAGCAGCAGGAATTGGAAGAATATTTAAAATTGAAAGAGAGTTTTCTTGTAGAAGAAGAAGGCTGTGAAGGAGATATTGATGAACAAGCAGTAAGTATAATCTTTTTCAAATAGTCAACATATAAATTTTTATAGTTACATAGCAACATAATTACTTGAATATTTGGGTTTTCACAAACATTTCTTTTTGGTGATATTGGCATTTGGGAAAAATTCAAAATTATTGTCAAGATTGGCATATACAGTATAGTTAAATGTATTTTTTTAAATTCAAAATATATTTTGGTCATTATACAGGATGCTAGTAAAGTCTTTATATATTATACACCCATGTAACTGACAAATGTAGATAGCAATAGTTATGAACATAACATTAATGGTTATAGTAAAATGACTATGCACTATAATACAAGACCACTTGAAGCAATACAGCAGTAAAATTTAGAATTTAGTGCTCCTATCTTCAAAACAATGCATGATACAGAAAGAAGTCAGTTACACATCTGTATAGCATGACTGATTTCGTATGAAAGGATACCCTGCATGCATGACTAGAAAGCATGAAATGTTAATGTGCATTTCACATTTTCTAGTCACACAGATACATAGAGCATAGACAATAAAATATATATTTCTCATGTGTTCTCATTCATTTCTCACAAGTTTGTTTATAACAAATATAATGTATTTCTCATTTTCTATGTCTTTATGCTACATTCATTACTGTGTACCATATGTTTATATTGCTCTCATGTCAGTGTGCAAAGTCTTTACTATGCATCATGTATATGCATATTGTTTACTTTACATGAACTTTTTATTCAACATAAATAGATATTGGAAGAATTAAAGAAATGTATTTAATTTTAATTTTTTTTCTAATGAAAAGTTTTTATCTAAATTCCATATTCTCTGAAAGAGTGAATCACCATTTAATTGAAGGCTTACGTTGAATGATATTGCAAGCACCAAAATAGCTAAATTTAATTTTTATAATAAATTGTGCACTGTAAAATGATGCAGTGAATAGTATCTTTACTATTAAAGATACTACATAAGATCTTTACTTTTTAATAGTAAAGATACTATTGAAAAGATCCAAATTGGTTATTGTGAAAAATTATTCCAACTTATCAATTGCATGGAAAAACATTGCACATGCATACAAAATGGCAAATAATTGGCATTCATTCTTACCTCTTTGGAGTTGCAAGTGCAAAATTTAGAAGAGAGAAAGTATCATGAACTTTCAAATTGGAATCATAAGAAATAGAAAATGCAGAGAGTCAGGAAATGAATATTTGTCATGCAGTGGACAAATTAAACCTACTGTAAAGCCCTAAATGATGTGAGTGAAGAACCATTGCATGTGCCATGCTGCAAATTTTGTAGCATGGAGCATGCAATGGAGGACATAAAGGATCTTAGTTTTTTAGAAAACTTTTATGAAGCCAAAGTGTCTGAAAATTATCTTGGAAATCTGGGTTTAGATTACATTCTATGACTCTACTGTCATTAGAATAAGACATTCCATTAATGATTTACAGCCATGAGATGCATTTTCCTTACTGCTGTCAACATGAAGTTGTGCACACAAGGGAATTCTGAATTGCTTTAATAGCCTACAGAACATCCATCTGCTATCTACATACAGTAGGCCACTCCCAATAAAAATGTGCTAAGAAGGAGGCCAGACCTACTGTTTATGTGCAAGTCTAGAAAATGCAGACTTTTATAGATCTTTAGTCTGATGACAAAAGTAATAATAGTGATTACATCTAAATACAGTAAAGCATAGTAGATATGACATAATAGAGAGATCTATTATGTCACAAGCAACATTTTTCCATAAGCACACCTTGCTTTTTGTTAAATACCCCAAACAGGTAGGCTATAGAATGCTGTGTCATAAGAAATAAGAACATTTTATAAAGTATTTAGCAATTTTGACCCAATTTTTTGCAGCAGTGTTGTTCCTACACCTTTAACCAGGGCTGCGGAGTCAGTAAAAAAACACTCGACTCTGACTCCAGATAATTTTAGTAGGCCAATTCCAACTCCTGACTCTGGTAAAATTAAATACTAAGTCATTTTATTGGGGGCAGAGGCACTCATAGGGAGTTACCCTACTCTGAAAGGAGCCCTGGGCATTTACCCAAATACTTTTATAGTTAGTGTTTTTAATATTTATCTTACATTAATATTTATTTGTATAAAAAAATTAATTTTTAACAAATATTTAATAAGAGGAAAAAGAGGGAGTGATAAAATTCTACATCTACATATCTTTATTCTACAGTTTTTGCACTTCAATTTCACCTTTCCAGAAAAGTTAGTCCAACTAAAAAGTGTGCGATCTAGCTACTTCAGCAGTCCCTTGCTCAAAAAAGAAAAATATACACTCTGATCAATTAGTCTGGCTCATTCAGAAAAATAGAGTACTTATTTAGAGTGGGGATAATAAAGGAATGAATCAAAAATATTCAAATTCAATTGGGTCAAAATAATTTAACTACTAAACACAAATACAGTAGAACGTCGTTTATCCAAATCAATTGGGGACTGGGGTTGTTCGGATAACTTATTTTTCGGATAACTGATTATGTATGAAAAAATATATTAACCTATCCCATGTTGAAATTTTTCTCTGTTGCATGTCACTTCGCATTGAATTTTTGTCGATGTTAATCCTAACAACAATTTTTATAATAATACTCATGGCTATTGTATTTATAAAAAAAATTTTTCAGAAATTTTATAAAAATTTTAATTGGATGTTTTGTGTTTTTAAAAGGACTTTTTGTGAACTTTATGGCGACAAGTAGCCTAAAAAGGAAGGTCAGTTGCCGAAAATGTTTTAGTCTTGGAACACAAGTAATAAATGGTGATCCTTTTTGGACAGTTTTGTCTTTTATTTTATTAAAAATAATTCTCCATCGGACGAACTTTTACAGAAGAAATTTCTACATATATCGTCACCAGGGGGCAACTTCTCTAAAAATCTACATTTTCCAGCGCTACTCTTTAGTAGATAAAAAGAAGAAGAAAACCCCAAAAGAAGGTATGATGGAAGCAAGACAACTGCATGTCACCAGTTCCTTTTTCAGAAATTTTATAAAATTTTAATTGGATGTTTTGTGTTTTTAAAAGGACTTTTTGTGAACTTTACGGCGACAAGTAGCCTAAAAAGGAAGGTCAGTCGCCGAAAATGTTTTAGTCTTGGAACACAAGTAATAAATGGTGATCCTTTTTGGACAGTTTTGTCTTTTATTTTATTAAAAATAATTCTCCATCGGACGAACTTTTACAGGCTATTGTATTGTTAAAAATTATTTCTTTATTTTATACAAACAAAATAAATATATTGAAAAATATAAAAACAAAAAAATTATATTTTGGAAGTAATCTAGTATCAAAAATGTTCAATTCATGATGAAGCAGTCCGACTGGAACGCTTTCAGTTAACTGACATTTCGGGTTGATCGGCTTTCGGATAAACAACGCTCTACTGTACTACAAAGAAAACTATTGATACATATTTAATAAATTAAATTGTTGCATTTTGTATTTAAAATAAATGAATTATAAATTAAAAATTTTAAAAAATTAATAAATTATAAAATCAATTTTCTTTCATTTATAAAAAAAACTAAATTAAATTTAAAATGCCGGAGTCAGAGTTGACATATTTTTTCTGACTCCGACTCCACTGGCTAGAAATTCCTCTCGACTCTGACTCCACAGTCCTGCCTTTAACTGAAATCAGTCACTGTTTCAAGTGCTCCAGTGCAATTTAAGGATTTTCCAGTTCTTTTTGTGTTTTTCTGGACATGTTACTTTAGTGGTTGCAATGTTCAATGCAAACCTTCAATTTTTCTTTATTCACTTTTTTATATTTTACTGATAATAATAATGTAATACAAGAATTATATACCAATTCACTTCTTGATTCTTGGTGAAAGAGGCATTTAGCAAACTGAAAACGATTTTGTGTGGGCCTCTGAAATTAGAATTGAAAAAAAGACTGGCCAAATGCTACATCTGGAGTGTTTTCCTCTATGGTGCTGAAACTTGGACATTGAGACAATACAACATTAGGAGAATAGAGGTCTTGGAGATATGGCTGTGCAGAAGAATAGAGAAAGTCAGATTGAGTGATAATGTGAGGAATGAGGACAACCTAAGAAGAGTGGGTGAAAAATGAGCATATTAGAGACAATAAAGAGACAAAAAGCAAATTGGATGGTGCACATGATTTGAGAGGAAGGCTTATGGAATGACGTTATGGAAGGTATGGTTGCAGGCAGAAAGAAATGAGAGAGAAGGAGAATTAAAATGCTGGATAACTTAAAAGAAGGTAATATAAGCAGCTAAAGACAAGAGCACAGGATAGAACAGCATGGAAAAAGAGATGTGCTCACTGGACCTGCTATAACTAGCAGAGAACTAAAGAAGAAAAAAGAATTATATAAAATCATAGTTATAGATAACCATGTAATATATACAAATAAAATATGGAAATATTAGAAAATGTTTATAATAAATTTTTATTTCATTTCAGACACAAAATAAATTACAAGAATTTATTAATTATATAAAGGTAAGATTATTTTTTCAAATGAAAAATATTTAATAACAATTTTATATTTTTGGGAATACTTTTAAGTTTTTTCATTGCTATGAATGATTTAGATATTTAGTACATGAAGTTTATTTATAGAAATTACATTCTTCATTTTATTTGTAATAAAAATTTCGGTTATGATTTTATTAAATAGAAAAATAAAATCAGTAATGACATTTCAAGAAAATAATAGTGTCTTCCAAAATGAATGTTACCATTTTAAATTACTGTAATTATGTTAATTATTATCTGAGAAGTATGTGGTGTGAATACCAATCAATAGAGTGTCTGAGTTCCATCTCTATTCTTCATTTCAAATGTCTTGTCTACTACCTGTAGGAAGCACCATAAATGAAAATGGCAACTCCACAATGAGAAGGCATTTAGTTTTCTGTAATTTGCAAAGCCAGAATTGCTCATCATTGTACAACATGAATAATCTGCAGGAGCTGTAGAATTGTGGCTGCTGTCGGCATGACAATGACAATGGATATGCTGTAGCAAATATAGGAAGAATTTTGAGTATCTGTTGGACAGGTACTGTCTGATGCAAGGTACATACCCATTACATTGAGAAATTGTAATGGGTAAATGTGAAACTTGGCCTGTTTTCCAATATTTTAATATACATTGCAATATTCTCAGGTAATAATTAATATAATTACAATAATTTAAACTTTGGTAATACAGTAGAACCTCGAAAACTCAGCTCTCGATAACCCGGCACTCCAGATAACTCGGCCACACCCTGGCAGGGCAAAAAAATCCTTAGTTAATTAATTTTCATTATAGACAGCTTTATAAAAGTATAAAAGCTCTCATAAAGTATTTTTCTGAGGTCTGTCTTATCAGGTAAATTACTGTACACAGTGTATTCATTAATTTTCATTTTCATGTAGTAAAGGCTCTATGCCTTCATAAAGGACGTACTTTTCCTTTGTTTAAGGGTATTTGGGCAGTTTATTCTCTGTTATATTCTCAAGTAAACAATACATACAAGTACAGTACAGTATTTTCTGAGGAAACACTCGTACTTATTTTTTTAACCCCATTCCCGATAATCCGGCATTTTCACAAACTCGGCCACCCTTCGGTCCACATTAGGCCGAGTTTTCGAGGTTCTACTGTATTCTTTTTGGAAGACTCTGTATAGTTTCTAAGATCATTGGAAACTTGAAGAAAATTTCATATTTTCTATAAACTTGTGATTTTAATACTGGTTATTCGAAAAGTTTGAGCCAGCTTTACATTGTCAATACATAGCTACTATTGTTGATTTAACAGTACATACTATAAAGATGATTAGAGTAACTCTCCAAGTTTGTTTCGTGCCTTATGTTTACATGACAAAAATTAACCAAGGCAAGATTTATCCTGATTAAGTTAACCAGGAATACACAGTATTAACATAGGTTAAAACTGTGTTCAAACAGAATGCAGCTTGTTTAGGCTAACATGGCATCATTTTTCCAGTTACTAATTCCAGCAGATGCCTAATGCTGTGACTCATGTTAGTAAACCACTTTAAAGATTAAATTAGTTGAAAAAAGGAGTATTAAAATGATGCAATTGTTAGAGTTAGTTGATTCTAATCAATAGTCTATCTTGTTTAAATGAAAAAAGTTAATTGTGTTTAAAGGCTTAATTGGGTGTTAACTCTTGTATAATCATAGTATTACAATGATTTGATACAAGTACTACCAGTGATGTGACACATCAATACAATATTTCAACTCCTCCCACATAATAAAACATGTCTCTGGTAACAAAAACCATGATGACATGGATGCTCTGCTTCAGTTTGATAGTTGGCATTGCCATCAAAAGGATATACGTGTATAGTATCTTTAACAAAATTTTACAATAAAAAGTCAAGGTGTCATGTTAGATGACCACAGAAAGATAAGTCATTGAAACTGTTGGCATTGCAGACCATCTCTTGACAGTGATCTGCATTTCTGACAAGTTCACAGATGATGCAAACTAAAACTTGTAGACTTTGTCTACTATCTTCATGTAGACATATTGTTATAATCATCTGACAGGAGTCAATTAGCACATGAAATCAGATCAACTTTTTTGAATAACCCTGTATTATTTAATCATACTCTTAATCTTTTCAATAATTGGATATGATTATGAAATCATATTTTTAAAATAGTAAAAATGAATATATAAATAACTTATTTATAAGTTGAATAGAAAATTTTTCATTAACCAAAGTTTTTAAATCATGATCATTAATATGAAAGTTATTATGATTAAGTACAATAAAAATTTGAATATTTTCTTGTTAAAAAATTTAAATATATATGTTATTTGATTATTGTTATTTTAATTATTATTTTGGATGCATTTATAAATTACTAAGTAATTGTATTAGCATGTTCAACAACATTTAAGATTTGAAAATTTATAATGTGAAACCTTTTTAAGTAAAATATAAAACTTATCAATTAATTTTTGTGTTTTTTAATAATTGATTTATTATAGTAAAATGTTTCCTGCTTATTTTCTTTTTTCATAATAAAAGTTTATGATAAATAAATTTGCAAATATTACAAATATATAATTTAAGTAATATAATTGAGAATTTTCATGTTTTAAATGTATTTTTACAATTTAATTGATAAAGTGTAAAAGTTTGTCTTTGATTATATTACATTTAAATAGGAAAAATCATTTTATCATTATTATTTCTTTTAAAACTTTTCAGACTTCTAAAGTTGTACTTTTAGAAGATCTTGCAGCTAAGTTTCAACTAAAAACACAGGTATATATATTTTCTTTTTAAAAATAGGTTGGGATTCCAAACTATTTCCTCTAAATTGTTACAAAACTGGGACAGGAAATAAGATTAAAAGAAATTCTATATACTAATTTTCAGCAATATTTAATATTGCTGGAAATTAGTATATATTGTTTCTTCTTTTCATTATACTATTTAGCCTATTTTTACAATGTTTATTTACTGTTGATCAGTTACTACTACTATCAGTTTTCCTAATCTACTATCTCTCTTCCTATTGTTCTTCCCAATCATCTCTAACATTTGAGACACAACTGGTTTTCTCTGGTTTACACTTTAACCTTTTTCTCATTGTGGATCAATAATTATTTGTGATTATGAATTATGCTTATTTATTATGTTTATATTGATGGTTCAGTTCATACTATTGCAACTAGCATTTATTGAAATTTACAAGAAAACTTCTAATCATTATTACAAATCATGATGTACACATACAAAATGTATGAATATATTGTAATATGGGCTTTTTTATGCTCTTCAGGATACCTGATATCTTTTTCTGCAGTGATTGTAACAGTGATTAATATGTCCCAATAAAGTGACTATACTCAAGTTCTAACATCATACATAATTCTATTATACCGAACCAAAATTCTTTCAGTATCTGTTAAGATAATAATGGGCTGACATTTTATCTGCAAATGTTATTAAGTCAATGAAGCAAAAATAGGAATGTGGTCAACATTTGTATGGCAAAATATATTGCTTCATATAATTACAATATAAAACATTTCATTAAAAAATAGTTTTTTTCTAATTAGATTAACAGTATCATTTCCATCTCCCTCTGATCAAGTAACATAAACTTAACATGACTTAGATGTGGAAATGCAAGATAGTGACATAAAATCATCATAATAATATGTATTCTTAAAATCATTTGATATAAAAATGCTAATCTGAACTCACTCGTCCTCTTCCATATTACAGTCAGTACACTTTAAATTCTGATAAAAATCATGATAAACTGAAGAAATGATATTTTTTTATTAAAAAGGACTTCAAATCTGAGTATTTTGCTTTCAAAATAGGCAATTCTTTAGTATAGACTTTCATGTGTGGCAACACGATCTATTGATAACCTACAACCTCACGACTGTAAAGTAGATCAATACTTTAAAAATGTTCCTCTTAATCATAATTGAATGAGCAGATCCATGGCTGCTCTTTCTTCACCATCAAACACAATAATGTCAGACCACTTGACTTTTTCACCATTTTCAGCCTTTGTCAAATTCTTTGCTGTTACTGATGCCATCTTAAAATCATAAACATTGTCTTGTGACATCACATGGATCTTGTACCTCTTTCCGTGTTGCTTGGCTGCTGATGCATGTAACACTCTTGTGGCACAAATTTTCATACCTTTTTCGGCTCTCTCAATAACATTGTGCATGCAGTTTTCTTTATTTTCAGTGTGTCCCTTCTCAAAAAATTTATGACAGATTACATCAATATTGAAAGCACCAACACAGAAAAGATACATAAAGAAAATAAAGCAGTTATGGTTTTGCCCACCAGTTATTAAAGAAGAATGAAAATTCCCCTTTTCCTTCCAAACTTTGCTTCACAAGAAACATATATGCAGCTGGACACTTCAATACTGCCTTGTCTTCCGATTCCTTCTTGCTACATATAACATTCCCCTTTGCATTATCTAAAATTATAAATGGTGATATTGTATGTGCTTAGTTTTCTAAAGATATATCACAATATGGTGTAGTCAGTATCTGTTAAAGATCAAGCATGCACATAAAAAAAACTGTAATTATACTATAATTGTAGTGTTAATATAATTGAATTATGTTTTCATAATAGAAGAACATTGATTTTTACTGATATATTATATAATAATTGCAAAAATGAGAACTTTTTTACTTGTAAGTGTTATAAAATTGTTTGTCCAAACCAAACTGATCACAAAAAACTTTTATTTTCTAGCACAATTCAGTTAAATAGGATCATAAATGCAGTTACAATATTTATACATGTGCTATCAATACAGCTTTTGTGCTACTGTACCATAGCATGACTTATGATCAATTAGCACAGAAGAATCTTTGAATCTGTAGTTACCATGATAGGGTTTCAACTTCCCTAAGATATTCAGTGTAGCAGATAAAATGTTATTTTTCCAGATAGAGGTCCTTCTGCATTTCTGGAGTATTGTAAGTTCATTTATGGCATTTTGACAGTTATGATATATTGATGGTTCAGTGCAATATTATGTTTATTTAGAGTTATTGCACATAATGTAGAGTTACTGTATGTACTTTGTTGTTATTTAAATGTCACTCATAATTAACTGTGCCAGTAATCAGTATAGTCATTTGTTTTTCACAGACCAACAGTTGAAAAGCATTGATGTAGACTGGATAGGGAAAAGTATTAACAATCTTTTAATTCCTTTATTCATCTTTATTTCATCCAAAGATATACATTCTTTTTCTGGTTTGCACTGGATATAATCTTTTTAAATTCTGATTCCTTTATTATCATACTAACAAAAAATATATGAATGACATTTGTTTGCAATGATTTGTAATTAGTCATAAGATTGTTTTGTATAAATATACATCCTATTAAAAAACAAACTTCAGATATTTTGGCCTTGTGTTTGTTTTTTTGATATCAAAAGATTTTTATGAAGAAACTCAAACATGTTTTAATAAAGGAATCAGAAATTTATTTGTAATACATGAAATAATGAAAATTCTTATATTCTAAAAAAATCAATTTTCAGGATTGTATCGACAGAGTCCAAGAACTTCTGCTTCAAGAACAGTTAGTGGGCGTCATAGATGATAGAGGCAAGTTTATATACATAACCCATGAAGAGCTTGGAGCTGTGGCTAAATTCATCAAACAGCGCGGAAGAGTGTCAATCAATGAACTCGTCGAACACAGCAATAATCTCATTAATCTTCAAACAGATGTTAAATGTGAAGCATAAAAATGATTTATTTAAATGATAGAAAGTTTTATAAAGTATGAAAATTTATTAGAGTATTTTTTTTTTATTTAAGTATACTTAATATATGTTTAAGTTATTACAGAAAGTTGGATGAGAACTTTATATATTAAATAGAATTTAATTATTTCTTTAATCTGTAAAAATTTCTTTTTAAAACTGAATTCATGAATATATTGTATTAAGATTTTGCAAGTTCAATTTGTAAAAAAAAATTTATCTGTAAAGTATAAATCACAAAATATAATTGCTTTACTGAAACAGAATTTTCATTAAATTATAATAAATATTTTAATAGTTTAAAGATGTTAATTCACTGACAGAAATTTCAAAAATTGATATAAAATATGTAAAACAGAATTTAGAATAGCCTTCTGCTTTGTTACTTATTATCAAAAACTAAAAGTTCTTTTAAACAAATTAACATTTTTATTTATAGAACATTGTTTTTAATTTTATGTAATAATTTGTATCTTTAAATAATAAACTATTTTTCACTGTTTCAACACATTATTTCTTGTGTTGTTATGCAATATCCAATAAGTGTAATAAAATTGGTATAATAAATTTTCCAAATATTAAAATGAAGAAATCATCTTTACATTGACAACTGATGCCTGTGCATATAAACAATTCCAATCTGCCGAATTATTGGGTTATGATTAGGCTAAGTTAATAATTATAAACAAAGTAAGTTATCTGGAGGTAGGTGGTTAAGGTTAATAATAATAATAATTTAAATAATTTTAATACAGAAATTCTGGAAAAGAATTAGACCAGAATGGGACTGAAACTTGCAACTTCCAATTACTGTGCAGGTGCATTGCTGAATTCACTATCTGACCTCTTTGATCTTCACTTCCCAAACTATTCATTTTTGAATGGCCTGTATGATTACATCTGAATTAATAGTTCTGGAAACAAACATTGGACAGAGATCCTGGTAGCATAATTGGCTACACATCTGCAAGATAAGTGGAAGTTGTGGGTTTGAGTCCTGCTCTGAGCAGATTCTTTTATTACAAAAATTCTAAGTTAATATTACCTTGATGGCTGCATAACTGTTTACCTCTAGATAAGTTACTTTGTACTTGATCATTAACTTAATCATTCGCCTAATCAAAGCCCAATAATTCAGCACTGTTTTGATTAATGTGTTAGGAATATGTTTTCTATTAGGAATTGTTTCTCTTGTTGACAATATAGCAGATGTCTCTAAAGCAGGGGTATCTCCAACCTGCGGCCCAAGGCAAGTTACAATGCGGCCCAATAAACGTGTAAACAAAACCGACAAATTTTTTATTTAATTTAATTTATTTATTTCAACGGCATAAACTCAAAAAAGAAGTTTCACAAAGCCGTAAATCTTTATATGTATTTTATTTTTGAGTCGAAAGGAAATATTTTCAAGTACTTGGATATGTGTGAATGGGGAAGGAATACTAAATAAATCTAAAGTTGAGACTCAAAGAATTATAGTCCCAAATTTGAGGAAAGGCCAAAAGATAAAACGTAGTGAGAAAGATTAAATAGACTTTCTGTTATGCAAATATGGACCCTTAATTTTCCAACCGTCCTCACTTCTTTATCTTTTGTCCTTTCTCTCTTTTCCCCGCATTTGGGTCTATAATCCTTTGAGTCCAACTCCGACTTTATTTAGTATTTCTTCCAGGTTTGCATGATTTGGCTACTTTGCTCCAAAGTTGGCTACCCTTTTTTCATTTTGCTGTAAAAAATACCATTTGGCGCATTGGCTATTTTTTGGGCTACATATTATTTATAAATATATTAGTCGAATAAAAATGCACTTTAAAATGGTGTTTTGTCAATTTTTATTAATTAGAGACCCAAATATTTGTGTTTTTCAAATACATTTTTGTTCGTCTCCTTTATAATAAATGAATTTATCCATTTCTAAGTAAAAATTAGAAGTGTCTGTAGAAGTAATTTTTTAATATATCCTTTTTTGTGATAAAGATTTAATACTTATTACTATAATCTAGATATGTTAATTCTTAAATATACTAGTATATTTAAGGATTGGGCCACAAGTATATATAATACACTTGTGGCCCAAAACTCCATGACATTTTCCAATGTGGCCCAGAGAAACAAAAAGGTTGGACACCCCTGCTCTAAAGTATGTTGCACTATCTGTGTAAAAAACACAACTTGCAAAAAAATTTAAATAATTACATTTTATTTTATGCTCTATTACTAAAAGCTTTACTTGTCCATTTGTCACTGAACCAATGCTCTCTGCCCACTGCAATCCTTTTTAATTCATAATAATCTCAAAACCCCATAGAAGCATTGATCTGTTTTAGATACTTTTTCCTTGGTCTTCCTTTATTTCCAAGAATTTTGCCTTCAAGGATAGTTTTTAGGAAATGATTGTTAGGAAACTAATAATCTATCAGTTTTTCCTTTCTTTTTCTTGCATTAACTTTTATTCTGTCATTTCCCTCAGAATTGTTTCATTTGTTTTATTTACTCTCCTGCATATCGACATTTCTGCTGCCTCCAGATGAGTCATCTCTTGCTTTTGTGACCATCTGCAAAATGCTTCCTATGCTTCCACACCATGGAATCAAAGGATTGACATCATGTCAGTGATGACAAAGTCAACTGGACTGATACCAGTGTCTTAAAGGACAGACACAGAAATCTCGATGGCTGTTAAATTCGTTTTTACACGAGCAATCGCTTGTGTAGGTGCTCAGATTTGGGATGAAGATGGATTGGGCTCAAGAAGTGCACTCTATAACTTGGTTACAAAAAAAATACCTGTTTATTTATCATAAACTATTTACAAATAGGCTGAATATAGGCTATTTACAAATGAAAGGTTGAACATTAGTTATTGACTATCAGGCCCAAACAAAATTACAGGGAACATGGCTAAGCATACTTTCAATGCAATTCCAACTACCATGTTAATAATTTACAACAAATGCCTTCAACTCCAGTATTTTCCCAATGCCTGGAAATGAGCTGAAATCAAGCTTATACCTAAAGCCCAGACAAGAACTAATGTAACAGCAAAAGACTTGCCCTATATTCCTACTACAAATCTTTGGAAAAATCCTCAATGCGTTAATATGTGAAAGACTGGAATTTAAAATGGAAAAGACAAATTTTCTCCACACCAACCAGCATGGATTCCGTAAAGACAAGTACGATTATGGCACTACACCAGCTGATCGAGGTAAACAAAACAAAACGACAGACATACACTGGCAGTATCGAGGGGTATTCGATCACATGTGGTGGCCAGCTGTCCTCTCAGCACTAAAAGATACAAATTGTCCTAAAAACATTTGCAGGCTCTACAAGAGTTTCCTTATGGAAAGAAAGCATAATGTGCAGCTCTAATGTTATCATGAGAGATATAAACAGAGAGTGCCCTGAGGGCTCTAGGTCTTGGCCAATTCTGTTGTAAGGAACCAAGTCTGAGCTTTATTTTTTATTTTACTCTTATTTTGCTTTCATTATATTTTGTTTGGGGCTTATGTTTAGTTAAGACGAAGGTTTCCTCACCATTCACCTTAGTAACTTAAAAATAGAAGAAAAACCAACTCACCGACGAAAGAAAAGCGCCGTAGAAAAATTCGCGCACACTTGCGCTTCCCAAGTGGAAAAAAGTAAGTCCGCACCGAGAAAAAGGGGGGGGAAGACCCCACAACCCAGTTAGGAATCGCTAAACCTTAAAAGAATAAAGCATTCCGATAATTGTTAAAAAGAATAATGTAAAAGGTTAGCGAAGTATTGTCGGAAAATAATCTGCCAGATAAACAAGAAAAATTTAATGTTACAGATAAGTATGTAAATGAGGAGAGTGAGCTCATTCAGAATTGTGACGTCACCTCACACTATAAAGCCTCTAACTCAAGTGAAAACGAACGAGGTGAATTCCTGATAGCAACGAGCTTTGGTGAGCTTTCGTAGCAGTGAACGAGAGAGGTGTCCGATAGGATTTTGAAGTTATTCAATTTGTGGATCGACGATTATAGAAAGTCTTGAGAGTTTGAGGAAATAGGTTCCTAGTATATTGAGGTGACGATTAGGATCTTTAATTTATAAGAATTATTGTTTATAAGTTAATTCTTTGATTTTGTCGAATTCCAAGGGGAACGGCTATTTCCGGCACACAGTAGTGTCGATAATCGTTGGGAAGTCGGAAAAATAAAATAGTACTTTACACTGTGGCTTGTGCAATATAATGATATTTTCAAACTCCAAGAAACTACCTTAGCAGACACCACTATCGATATATTAGGATTTGCTGATGATATAATGATACTGATAACACACAAAAGCCAAATCTTGCAGGTTCAAATGAACAAACTTCTAAACAGAAAAGAAAAAACTGATAATCAACCTAGCTAAATGTGCAAGTATACTTTTCCCACTTAATAAGAAACCAGCAATTGAACTGTCTGGGCATAGGATTAAACATAACTCTGACATCAAATACTTAAGATTGATGAGACTTTAACTCTATCCAACGAATGAGTTTAATATCGATAGCTAAAGCATACAGTCCGATGAATGCATTACAAGTAATTTCAAACATTCTACCACTGGACTTACAAGCTTTAAAAATCTACTGGAAATACCAACTTTTAGGTCATGGCAAAGAGCATTCAAACTCCCATTATCCATGCTTCCATGGAGTAACTTATAAAAGACATCCAGAACTACAGCCTGGACTCACAGCAAAAGACTAACATAGTTCACCCAGCAGAACCAAACCCGGAAATTACTGAGGCACCAGAAATAAATGACAAAACATACAATGTGTTTGCTGACAGGTTGAAGTCTGCTGAGGGCATTGGGTGCGCATTGGTTGTTCATAACACCTCTGGATGATCAATTTACCAGGCCTTCTTCAAGCTAGGAATGCAATGCTGAAACAACCAAGGTGAAAGTTTGGCTATTTTGAGGCGATTGCAATATATCAGACAAGCCAATGTTCAGAAACAAAACAATACACATCAGCAGCGATAGCAAAATGGCCCTAGCCCAAATCAGGAAATTATGCACAAAGCTAACTATAGTTCAAGAAACTACCAACCTTCTGACGCTACTTAGAGGAAAAGGGATAAAAATCCTCTTAAACTGGGTCAAAGGGCATGCTAGGATAACTGGAAATGAGTGAGCTGACCTACTTGCAAAAAAGGTGGCTAAGGCTGACATGCCCAACTCTCTCAACACCCTTCTATTGAGCCTGGTCAAGTCCCAGCTAGACAACATCATGACCCTGCTCTGGCAACAGAGGTGGGAAGCAGAAAAAAACATGCAAACTTGCCTTCCAATTTTTCCCAAGCATTCAGGACAGGAGGCACATGTCTTTTTACCATTCAACCTACATTACCACTCAAATTGTTACAGGACATGACAACTTCAAGACACACCTGAAGTGTTTCCTGAACAAAGGGAATGGGAAATGCCCTTTTGCCCTAGCTGAGGATTAAGATGTGCAGCATATCAACTTTTTGTGCACTAAATACAAACCTGAAAGATGAATTTTAGCAAGCACACTGAATGAATTCAGCAATCAAAAGACTCTACACTCTACATGCTCTTGAAACTTTCATCAGAGCTACTGACTTACTAAGCACTACCAGCTAGGCGAACTATCCAGCAAACAACTGGAGGTGACGTTTCAAGGTCATCCCAAATACCCAGGACTCCCACAACATCTGAGGCCCGACAGACCTTCCTCATGGAACTTATATCCGTGCAGACTTTCAACAGGTATGATGTAGGCCAACCAGTTTGTGCATGTTGAGTTATTTAAAGAGACTTCAAGTGTTGTACCCTCTGGTGCATGGTTCTTTAACACCTGCTTGTTCCTGGTCTAAGGTTTCTCTGCTTTCTTCTAATGGGTTTTTGTATGTATGTTCTTTTGTTCCAACCGAGGAAAGGGGGACCCAATGTTTTGTCAATGTTTCATTATCCTTCCCCCTGTACCAACAGGGATTGTAAATGTGATTGTTCGGAGGCCTGTGGCTATGCTGCTGCCATTTAAGGTTTCCACATTTTGCACTCCCTGGTTGTGGAGATCTTGTTGTACATGCCCTGTTCTGTTTGTTCCCTCCTCCAAAGCCAGCAGCTGTTGTTAGGCTTCCAAGTCTTATTCACTCCCCGATCAGTGGTGTTTTGTAACATGCACTTTTTCAGTTTATTATATACTCTTTCTTTTATTGTTGTTTTCTCCAAAGAAAGGAGGTTTTCTTTTCTACCCTCTTACGAGAGGGAATTGTACATATGTGGTTGTAATTTTGGAGCCCGTGGCCACTTGCCAATGCAGAAAGGACCTCTACTGCCTCTAACATAGGAGTTATGTAATTATGTTGCTATACTCTGTAATCTAATTGTATCTCTGGTTTGCTTAATTAATGGCACTCAGTGAACACTCTGAGTCTTATGCTTCACACTTTCCTGTCATCCTTTCTTTTTCTTCAACCTTCTCATTTCTGCTATAACTCTTCATCCTTCTCTTCCAAGGCTATACCGACTGGTCAAGGCTTCCTCATCTTTTAGTAGTAGTAGCAGCATGCATTAGTGGAATTAATGTTACCGAGTTTTTTGGTAGATTGGTTACTGTTTCCACATTTTATGTTAACTTTCCTTAATTTCAACAAAACAGCATGAAATAAAATGTAATTATTAATTAAATGTAATATAATGGGTTGCTGCATATAACATATTTCTACCATATTGTCAATAAAAGAAAAAAAACATCTCTAAGGCATTAATGCACAACAGTCAAAACTTTTTCACATAACATTGTAAAAATCACAGAAAAACCCTGTATTTTATGTTGTCCTGAATGGCATTCTCTTTTCATCAGGTGCTCTTTTTGTTGGTTTTTTTTTTTACCAAATACCCTGTATACATAAGAAAATTGAACAATTATTTATTGTGACGTCGTCACAATGCCAGGCTGCAATTTCTAATTGTATTTTTTAATATACTGTATATGCTTTCTACCTCAAATTAGTAGTGTCTTGTCCCTATACATCATACTTTTCCTGTTAGCAATAGAATCATAATGGTCATATATCTAACTCCTTTCAGACGAAAATTTTTGAATTGAAATAATGTGACTTCCAGTTTGCACCAGAAGTTCGTATATAGTTAATAGAGACCTCCTGCCCCTAATCTTTCCATATCTGGTCTTGGCTTTCATCTATCTAACTCTGCTCTCAAGATTAAAGAAAGACAAGTGGACAACAGTGGGAATTTATAAGTCTACAATTTTTTCAAATTGCATCCCAATGATAAAACTTGGATAAATGAGTAATTTGTCACAAATGCTACTAGCTAAAGGATGAATGAAATTTATATTTCTAACATAAGTATTGAATAGTTTAATATTAAATTCTAAAGTCTGTTATTTTATTCAAAATGATATATCTAGAAATTTTAAAAGTTCTTCACATAACAATAGTAATAAAAATAATACCCGAAGATAATGTAATTTATCAAATTCTCAATTTTTCCCCCACTTATAATTAGAAATATTAAGAAATGAACCAAGATATAAATCATCAATGTGTTCTAGAATAAGAATTTATTTGGCTTCATTTGTCTCAAGTAGAAGACTTAAGTAACTTCAATCTTTTTTAAAATGCATTACAATATAAATGAAACTGTCTAATATTAATATGCATAATATTAGTAAAGGAATTAGACTGTTACTCTATGGACCATGTACAAATTTGAATCACAGAAATTTGATCCAGACATCAAACCTGCAACAGTCACAAAAAAAAAGGTCCTCTTAGTCCTTGTATGGATTAAAAAAAAAGAAATGAAAAAATACTTTTGTTAAACATGTTTATTTAAAATGTTTTAAAATATATTGCATTGAAAAAATATAACAAATTTATGATACATTAGATACATATCAAAAAAAGGGGTCATTTGACCTCATATTATAAAACCTATTATTATAAAACCGCTGCTTTCAGGACCGTAATCAAGAGGGCATACATACATTGTTCTAACTTTCTTGAAAGGAAAGCAGAATTCTCACATATATATATTTATCAAAAACTTACATATAATAAATATTACATAGAAAATTTCTAAGAACGTTTTCTTCTAGTTATTAATGCTCTTTTAATCTGGAAAGCTTCAACAATATTCTATAAATAAAATAAACAACTGTTGTTATTATTTAGTGAAATGTACTGTACATTATTAGTTTTAAGTTTGTTTAAAAAAATTCTATGCCTATATAAATCATTTACAATATCTAAGTACAGTGGAATCCCGGTTAACAAATGTAATCCGTTCCACAAGTCCGTTCGTTAACCGGAGCAATTTTTCCCATAGAAATTAATGCAAATACAATTAATCTGTTCTAGCAGTCAGTGTTTTTTTAATTTTATTTGTAAAATGGGTTTTCTTTGATGAAAATATAAGAAAATGTTGTATCTATCATTACAGCAACAAATATGTAAACTTTATTTAATACAGTAGCACTGTGCATACCTTTGTTTCTATGGAGCTTAATGCCTGGAAGAGGAATTCCCCTCCATAAAAATATCGGGTAGTACTGCATCGGGAGTTTCTTCGAGTTGAGGTCACTTTTGATAAGGAATAAGAAAGTGATCTAAAGTTGATTGTCTTACTCTCTTAATCAAAATTTTTCTAAAATGCGCTAGCACAGTGTCGTTCATTAAATTAATGACCCTATTAGCCACAACTTTGTTAGGATGGTGCTTCTCAATAAATTCCTGCACATCATTCCATTTTCTGCAAATTTCCTTGATCTCAGCACTGGTGATTTCTTCCCTAGCCTCTCCCTCTGACAAATGCTCTTCTTGTAAGACTTTCATCTGTTCTTCCTGCATGGCAACCAGCTCTTCTGTCGTTAGTTCATTTTGATGGTCTTTCAGCAACTCCTCCACGTCTGCATCATCTACCTCTACTCTCAAACTCTTGCCAATGGACACGATTTCATGCACTACATCAGGAGAGCTCTCTTCTTCAAATTCCTGAAAGTTTCGCTCTGGGACACAAGTTGGCCAAAGTTTCCTCCAGGCCGATTGCAAAGTGCGGTGAGAGACCTCACTCCAGGCTTTGTCAATAAGGTTGATACAATGCAGGATGTTAAAATGCTCCTTCCAAAAAGCTCTAAGAGTTAAGTCGGTATCATTGGTAACCTGAAAACACATGGTAAACAGTGCCTTGGTATACAGCTTTTTAAAATTGGAAATCACTTGCTGATCCATTGGTTGCAGTAATGGAGTTGTGTTGGGTGGAAGGAATTTGACCTTGATGAAGTCATGTTCACTATCCAAGTCATCCTCCAAATTTGGTGGATGTGCTGGAGCATTATCCATTAAGAGAAGACATCTAAGAGGAAGATCCATTTCCTGAAGATAATTTTTAACAGAGGAGCAAACACTTCTGTGAGCCAATCCGTGAATAAAGTCTGAGTTACCCATGCCTTACTATTTGCCTTCCATTGTACAGGCAGTTTGGACTTTATCACATTTTTGCTCTTAAAGGCATGGGGATTTTCAGTGTTGTAGACTAAAAGTGGCTTGATTTTGAGGTCACCACTTGCATTAGCGCAAAATAAAAGAGTGAGTCTGTCCTTCATGGGCTTGTGCCCGGGAAGTGCTTTCTCTTCTTGGATTATGTATGTTCGTCTAGGCATTCTTTTCCAAAAAAGACTGGTCTCATTGCAATTAAACACTTGATTCTAGACTATCCTTCACTTTTTACAAACTCTGTGAATTCATCTACAAATGTTTTTGCTGCTTTTTCATCTGAACTTGAAGCCAGTTTGTCGATGAAACCTATCAAACCACCCTCGGCTCGCTTTAAAGTCCTGCCTGTCTGCACTTGTACTGGGTGTCTGGGTCAACAAGTCATTGTATAAATTTTTAGCCTTTTCACAAATTATAGCTTCACTAACACTGTCTACAACAAGTTGCTTTTCATTGATCCATATTAGCAACAGTTTTCCAACTTCATCTAAAACTTTAGATCTTTGTTTCGATATCACATTCACTCCTTTAGCCAGTTCGGTAGCCTTAAATGCTTTTTTGTTTTTAATAATTGTAAAGATAGTCGACTTTGCCACATTATATTCTTTAGCGATGTCAGAAACACAAATGCCATTCTCCTATTTTGCAATAATTTCTTTCTTTAATGCTACACTAAAACGTTTTCTATTTCCACTGTCACCTTTCTCTTTCTTTGGTGCCATATTGATTAAATATACAGTATAAATAACAAAACTAAAAAACAAAGTTTAGCACACTCGAAAAAGCAATGCTTACCTTGNACTTTGTTGGACAAAGTAAACTTATCTGTGATCTTACTTCACATTCTATGAGCAAATCCTTTTATTGTTTATAATAAAAAATAAAAGCAGCAAAATGCATTTCACATCATTTTTATGAGCTCTATTATATAAGCTTTTTTAACTTAGTAATTTCCAAGATTATCATGAAACTTGAGCAACCCATTTCTGGTTTATTAATGTTCAACTTTCCCTGGAAACATTTAAAATTTTGGTGATGCCATCTGTTATCATATTTTATTAGTTAAAAATATGAAAAGTTTTTTTTATCATAAAATGGCAAAAAGATTAATTTTGAGGGTAGGGATGGGTCTAAAAAGTTGTAAATATTAATAACAAATAAAATCATCATTAAGTTTGAGCCTACTGGAGATACACACGACCCCCATTATCTCCCCACCCCTCGACTTTTAATCACTAAACTTAATACTTTCCCTCAGTATAATAGCCAGAAAAGTAAAAACGATGATGTAATCAAGAACCTTGGAATGGAAAGAGTTTTTGCTTATCTTGATATGGGCTTGCCAAATTGATTAACTCCATAAAACAAACAGTATAAAAATTGATAATATAAATTATTTTTTAAAATTTCTCTTAAACTTTAAATTTAAATAAACATTGTAGAATGTATCTTTATATACCGTTATATTAAAGAATAGCTTTAATGTAACGATATAAAAAAATTAGTTATGCGAAAAATGTAAAAATAATAATGATTATATTAAGGATTTACAAATGCTGTTAATCGATTTGGTCTGTGAATGGCTCATAGTATGTTATGAACAAGTTTAAAATAAGATGACGGCGACTTTATCATCAAACATCAACGTATATATAATTTCTCTGGTGTTATCACATTTTTCATTTATGATATAGAAATAAGTTCTTTTCTTATTTGAAAATTGTTGCAACATTTATATGTTGTATGATTCTATATATTATAAATATTTACCTTCCATTCTTGAATTGTGACTGACATTATAATCTGATGTTGTTTTCCTCTTGAAGAACCTGTACTCTCTTTGTTTTGCTGTAAAATTGGTTCTATAAAAATAAAAAAATATATGTTTTTAAGTAATTATATGCAATGTAGTGCTTCAAATAATAGTTTTTACAGAGAAAACTTTTCTACTTTTCTAATTGTTTAATTTTTAACATTAACAAAATAAAAAATGAATGTTAACTATAATGGCAATATCTACATGTACAAAATGTGATAAGGTGAAATCTATTTTCAATTCATTAAGGCACTTGTATAAAACAAATGAAATTTATAATCATTTTGAAAATTATTTTATGTAGATTAGCCTTGCTGCATCTATTTTACTGTTTAATTTTACTTAAAATAATTATAAGCAAAGCATGTCCAATTCCGCTCTTGCCATATCAGCATTTCTCCCTGGCATTCTAGCTATTAAACTTACCTCTATCCAGTATAAAATTAATTTCCAATTATTTTTTAATTTTGTTATTAATGGAAAGATTATTGTAAGTTAAATTTTGGTCAAACAAACTGAGACACCCTTTTATTTGAAAAAGTAAAGTAAAGAATTCTTACAGATATGCGAGAAAGAAACAATAAACTATATTGAACATTAAGTTGATGACATTAAATCAATCAAGTTTGTATTTATTTATTTGCAGCCACTTTGGATCTGTGCAACTATATGTTGCTATGTCTAAGTAAGATCTTTGGATAACTTTAAACTTTAATTTTGAATTCTTCAGAACAAGGAAAGATAATTAACTGAGAAAGTAATTACACAAAAAATGCTGTATATTGGTGAAGTTTCTGATTAGCAAAGAGAGGAAATCTTAGTCAAAAGTAGCACAATGGTTTATGGCAGTTGAAGGTGTTATTGCTATGTATTGGATTTAGTAAAGACGTTTATATTTATATATATTTGCCTTGCTGGGTATGTTATGGCCAACTGAGTACTTTGTGTGGGAGTTTACAGGTCAAGAGCAGTGAATGCATCCCGAGTTGCCACGATAGTAACTGACAATGATTATATAGTAAATGTTAAATACACTGGAAGAGGAGATTGGACCGGAGGTCCTAGTAGTGTATGTTGAAATATGTATATACAGGTGAACCTCTGGCAATGCATCCAGAGGTTCAACTGTGTATATATATATATTTGAGGTTTAACTGTATATTAAAGCCTAGGTAGAGAGAGAGAGTCAAAAGGTCGCTGTTCAGAGGTTCAACTGTGTATATATATATTCTATATAACTAGTTATGTAATTATGATGTATAACTCTGCATAATTAACTACATAATTACAGTTTACAAGTATATAACTAGTTACAGTTCCAGTATTAATTGATAATTCAATATTAAAGCTCATAATAAGTCCTTATATTTTATTATAATAAAAAAAGAAACAATAATTTAGCCTCTGAATTACTTAAGAATAATTCTAGAAGAGAAATTATTATATTTATTGACTTAGACTACTTACAACTGACCATAGTTATAGTACATATCTGCTTATCTAGAGGATAATATTTGAGATCCATTGGGCAAGAAAGCACCAAAGATATCCTAAATTAATAAAGAAAATTCTATTTTAAGTTACGGATCCTTGACGTTACACTAAGAATCACCTACACACCTGATACTGTAAAGAACGTCTCCTTTGGGGTAGATCCTTAGCAAAACATTTGGCATAATGATTTCGTGGAAGTGTCCTTCCTTTTCATTAGCGAAAAATAAGTCGGGTTTCCAAATTTTATCCGGATCCGTCAACGTCAGATAACGTATTTGGCCGTTATAATCATTGAAATGCATCCTCTCGTCGGCCCATTGCTCCCTTAATGTAAGCTGCACTGTGTACTCCTGTAATGAGATCAGATACGTCACACAAGCACTTATCATACATCAGAGACTAATATATTTATATAAAATGGTAAAATTTATGACTTGAAACGTGTTTATTTCATTAAAAATCCCTTTAAAGGTTCTTACTTATTACTTTCAATAAAGGTAGGGCCATTTTTCCTCTCTGTTTTTTTCCTTTCTGCCCTATCTAAACGGGCAGAAAATATAATAAAGTAGGTATTAATTAAAGTAAACCGTACATTATTATAATCAATTATAACCTTTTTTATTAAGGACTTTATGGGGGTGATGTTGGTAATTACTTCCACTAAGTGTACACGAGTTTTCTCATCCTGTAAATCAGCGGTTCCTATGATTCACTTCAGTTGCTTTAACAGAGGGAAAGTATGGCGATCGTCAAAAATGAACCCCAAGATTTTGGACTCGGGACTTCAAGAAATGTAAGAAGTGGGTGGGGGTTCTGTATGTATGTGTATGTTGGGGGCACGATTTTGTTGGCCCAATTTGAAGCTTAATGACTCCCGTACCATTTGTCGAAAATTTCTGAAATTTTGCTGGGAGGTTTGTGTATTAGGGAGTTTAATGCTGTTAAATTTTGGCGGTTAAAGGTCGAAGGAATGGGGAGATAGAGGGAGATCACGTGTCGTATCACGAGTGGATCAGAATTANTTTTTTTTTTCGCTCAAATGGTGCATTAGCAACATTAGCGCAAAAACAGACCTTAAGATACCCATATAAATAAAAAAGATGTGTTCGCAAAATTAAGTCAGTTAAAATTTAATTGTTTATGCCATAACTATATATATTTTTTTTTTATAAATAATAAAAAAGAGTGTTCAAAATGGTTTATTTTGTACATATTTCAATATTTTTCATTCAAAATATTTTATAAACATAAAAATTGGCTTTTTTTAATCAGAAAAAGTCATACAGAAAGCAGTTAAACAAGAAAAACTTTTCTAAATCATTTATTTTATCGTTAGGTATTATTATAATAATAGACAAATGTCATCGTCTCTCGAAATTATCTTTCTTAGTTCACTGTTGATAGCCCGACACGTGTTCCGCAGCCATCTTGTATTTTCTCGCGTGCGTGGGATTGTGGGATCTCTCTTATGACTACAGTGGCTAGGAAATATACCTCGCGTTTTTTTATGCAGCGCTCGAGAAGCGCTTTACAGCGAACACACTGAAACTGGTTTCTAATTGGCCAATACTGCTCGTGACGTCATTTCGCTACACTCTCGCTGCATAAAAAAATGCGGGGATAGTGTCGAAAGCGCTTATATTCCTCCATTATAACCGTTCGGTCCATACATCGAGGTTAGTGACGTCACAGACAAGGTGGCGCTGATGTCAATCGTAGTGCTACTTTCGCTTTGGCTACGTGATATCCTTTCTTACAAGAACATCGAAAATGATTAAATTTGTGCTTGTAAAGTGAATAAATCCTTAGGAAATGGCTGAACAGAAACTTTACTGACTTGTGTATTTCTAATTTATAGATATTACTCTACTGTAATTTTTAATTCTTTTATTTTTGTCGAAAAGGGTGAGAAATCTACATGCATATTAATCTGTAATTTTTTAAGAGAGATTTTTCAAATATAAGGTGTATATGCATGGGTACTTGGCAGTAGACTAATAATCGTTTATTTGTACATACTTAATTTTGTAATTTTATATTGGGACAATAAAGTAACATTCTGCCTTTATATTTTATATACTGTGTAGAATTTAATTGTAATTTTAATATTGCTTTATACTATGTCACATAATACTGTGAACAGTATACAGTATTATGTAAC